TATAAATTTATCAAAATATTTTCCTGAAGTCTTATCCGTTATCGATCACTTGCCGCGAATGCGAAGTCACTATTCGTATTCAAGGTATGAATAATTTTGTTTAACCGTTGCCGAGGTACAACTCTGATATGCTACTCACACAAGTACGAATACACATTCCACGGATATTTGAATAGGCTGGAGGACAATATCTGTCAAGACCTGCTTTGATTGCATTGGTGGCGATGGGGTGCGCCGCCATTGTGTCGGCCTTCGCATCGTCAATTGGACTGACATCAGCACTGACGTTTGTCACAAACCTGTCCTTCTTGAAGTTGATCGTCACCATCACGAAGTACATCCCGCAAGCGCTGCACAATTTCAGGGTAAGCTCGAAATATGCACTTTATGATCGTTCTCATTGCCTTTGGATAGTGTAACATTTAAGGAAGAACAGTATAGGCCTGCTGGAAATGTGTCTGTCTAGTACATACGGTGTTGACATATGCCTATGGGATATATAATTTCCATGACATTGCACATATTGACTACAAAGCACTCTTAATAAGTTTGTATCTTGAATTCCCTTTTGCTACTCTAACGTACACATATCGGATTCTGCTAGAATCGCGCTATGATAAAGTTCTGAAACTAAATCATTTTATTTCTGTACTACATACACTACAGCGGAAGAGCACTGTGGGATGGAGCATCCACAACATTTTGCTGGACTTTACTGGGGGAGTGCTAAGCATATTTCAAATGATGCTTATAGCCTTTAATCTAGATGATCTAACTGGGTTTTTTGGCAACCCAGCTAAGTTTGCATTAGGACTAATCTCCATAGCATTCGACGTCCTGTTCATGACTCAACACTACATACTTTACAAGGACAGATACGGTAGTGGTGATGGGTACTCTGCAGTGGATACTGCATCAGACTATAAAGCTTAGTTTGTAAGCTAATACATGAGAAGTAGCTAACAATAAAATTTAGCAATGATATTCCTATCTCTATTATGGAACACCGCATATATGCATATTAGCTTACGCTTCCACATATCTCACAGATCCGAACACGCCCAAGCACCAGCACGATGTATACAAACAATGTTTAATATTAATATTTACGGTATTCTAGATGTGCCCAAAATTTGTACATTTACATTACATCGAGAATATGGCGTACTCACTTCTGTGCAACGAAATCCGCCTATGAATGCAGAGCAGAGTAACTTATTTTTTGATATTGATACATACATAGTGTATCGCTGACAGTGACTTCGTTGTACTGCCTATACTGTGAAGCCGAATCAAATCCACCTGACATATTTATAGCAAGGATCTATGTCTATGAACTTCCGGTGAAAAGTCATACCAAAATAGATTATGAATCTTCACGTTTGATGAATAAATAGATACAGGATGCGCCAAGCTGCTCTCGCGCGGATTTCATCGGCTGCAGGCAAACCTACTGCTTCGCTTCGAATGAGTTTCGATAGCGATATATACAAATTTGCTATCCTGAGATTGGTGATTGCAAATAAACTGTACAGACATGACATGTTTTCACTTGAAGCATGCGGAAGAGTTGGTACCAAATAAGGACTCGTAGAACTCTCGCGCAGATCTCATCAGCTGAGACAATGCTTTATATGGCAAAGAATTGAACAGATTTCAATCGTGGGTAATTGAATAGCGTTACAAACAACCCTGTGTCCGATATATTGGATGGCACATACAAAGCAATGATATCTGACTACGATGCTGTGAAGGGCATCACTGGACGAAGGGTGAGAAATTTCAAGAACAGACCGCTTGTGTTGCTATAAATTAACATGGATATAGTCATACCTCAGGTCACTCTCACATGATAAAGCGACGCACGAACATCAACTCACCTCTCGCTATCATGAGTCCCTATACTACGCTTACCATGCTGGCCGTTTCCGTTCTCGCAATGCTCGGATCGTCACCTGCATCGATCGATGGGGCGCGCGATCTCACCCGTTCTGACTATCAAGGAAAGGACATGTCCGAATACCAGCTCAGTCACAAGGAGTTCGCATACAACCCTCAGGTTGATGTAGAGGATTTGGCTGCCGCACAATCCCAGAGCACAGTGTCGATGGCCCGTCGCGAGGTTGAAGGCAACGATCAAAGTGTGGTTGCTGACGGCAGTGGTGACGATGACGATGACGACGAATATGGAGCTGGCAACGACGATGACGACGATGACGACGCTGAAGATGAGGAAGATGGTGCTATGGATGTTCAAGGGGTAAGTACGCGACTGTAAATACGATATTAAAAGTTTGTTTTTCGCCTAGATACCGTCGTAAAATACGTGTACCGTTTATCTTAAAATGATCTTGATTCATTATTCACAGCGATCCAGATGGGGCAATAATCGCAACAAATGCCGCCGTTGCCGCTACCTTTGCCAGGATCGATGCAGCTCGCGTTGGAGACGGGACGACAACGATCGGAAGGATAGCAACTGGTGGGGAGGCAACAACAACTGGTGGGGAGGCAACGGCGGCTCCCGTCGTTGTTTCCGCCGCTGCATGCGTCACAATTGCTACCGCTGTACCCGCTTCTAAGAGTCCGGTGCCTGTACTTTCCACTGTTGATAGCTGAATTCGTATCTTCTGGCGATCAGTTTGTTTGATCGAAATCCGCAATGTGGATCACGCCTCGTGAAGTGACAATCCGTGCGATTGCAGCGATAGTGGGAACTCTATTATGTTATACTTATTCGGACGATGAATATTCCCAAGGAAGGCCACACCGCTCAAAAACGAAGGCGGCGTCATTGCAAGCACTCAGTGTACAGCCGTGCACCCACTGCAACCACTTCCAATGTTATGCTACCATGTCGTCCGAATTTTCAATTTTCGGTACATTGAATAAAAGAATGTACTCGAATTTGCATTACGGTTTCCAACACTTTAAAATATTTTCTTTTAAAAAAATAATACTTTTGCTGATCTCGGTAGTTAGCCTATACAAATACAAACACATCTGTATTCACTCAGTCCCATCTGTACACTCACACTCACATTAAGTCAGAATCGTCACCATGAATAACAATATGCTCGCATTGTACAACTCCTCGAGTATGTGCACTGACATCCGATAATCCCCACCAGCCATCACCCCGGATACGATTTGAAGTATACCAATATACATAGCCACATACTAAGCTTCTTAATGAAACTCTGCTGCGAACTGACAAGAATAGCGTATTGACGTAATTCTGCAGCGAATTGAAAAGAATCATTACTTGATATTATTTCATCATCAAGTATTTATACAACACAACGACGGAGAGGGGTGCTGCTTACGTTCCTAAATGTAAAGGAAAAGTCCAGAATAATAATAAATATGTGTATTGTATGCCTGGCTGCATTGGCGGTATCTATTTAAATTGTTTAAAAGCACTACTAACAGCTGTTTTAATACGATGGTGTACTGGATTGACAAATTCGCCTTCCATAAATTGCAAGCTAGCCCAGCAATTAACAAGCACCACACTGAATAGGTGGGTCAGGTAAGTATAAAAAAATGTCACAGGACACGATCGAATCTCACGAATGATATTGGGATGTATTTATTTAACGCATACAAAATAGGTAGAAAGTAGTTATAATTCGACCATATTTATTTGAACTGATAGACTTGGGCAATTGCTATGCTACCATGTTGCAGACCGTTGGAATCTTTACCAGGACTGAAATATCAGAAGGTTTGTCAAATCCACCGGGGCACTTTATCGCGTATTTGCCTTTGCGATTGATCCGATAATGGTGCATTTGCCTATATTCTGCTGCATAATCAAGCTATGTCCTTTTCAGGGGTATGCATATCTAGTATCTAGAGTAGGAGTAGTGACAGAGCAGTTTATACTTATTATTATTATTATTGGAATGTACAACTTTAAGTCATCGACTAATGAACTATTGAACTTCTTATAAAGTTCCCAGTGAAAAGACGATGGTAGTTACAATGTAATTTACATACATACCTGGGCTTTGGGAGCGCCCGGAACAACGGGGATTGCAAATTCCATTAAACGTCGCCATCTGATGAGTAATGAGTAATGAGTGATGAGTGATGAGTGATGAGCCTTCTTGAGACTCGAGGCCAGGGAGGTAGGGACAGCAGGGTCAGCACTCAGCAGGGTTGACCAGTTGTGACTTGTAAGTTGTGAGCTGATTTCAGACTTGACTCTTCACTCTTGAGAGTGACTTGTTGCCTGTTGAGTGTTGACAACAATGTTGAGATTTGAGAAATGTCAAATGACTCAAATGAATAATGTCAAATGTCAAATGTCAAATGTGACTTCTAATTGTTGTTTTTTTAGTTTTTTTTACAAAACGGTTTCCTCTGTTACATAGTTGTTTTACTCCGAAAAGATAAAAACAACCGTTCTCTTGGCTATCTCATCAGTATTGAGTAAATATCTCTAGCTTTTTGGCTTTCTTTTTTTGTTTAAAAAAAACCCAAAACAAAAAAAACAGTGGGACGAAGAATACAGACGATCGATCCAATATAGTGCAGTGAGGGATGGTCGAGGCGATAACAACAAAGGTCACTATACGTCAGAGGGCGACAACAACGAGAAAAAGCAACGGCTATAAGAAGTACCACTTGTAGCAATTCCAGAGTACTTTGTGAAAGTGCGGGATTTGGGCGATGCCGAAGTGTTCCTCGTGTCAGTGGTGCAGCATCTAGGGAAAAATAGTAATAGCTAATACATATGTTATTGACATATGCCTAAGGGATCACTTTCTCCGGACATTGTATGTATTGACAACAAACTTCTGTGATTTGATGAGCACTTTTGGTATTAAAGTTTGTACCTTAAATCCTTTTTGTGTGTACTACATACACTACAGGGGAAGAGCACTGTGGGATGAAACCCACATAATTTTGTCCGACTTGACTGGGGAAGTGTTAAGCATAATTCTACTGATACTTATAGCCTTTGGTCTAGATAAAATTTAAGCGGGGTTCTTGGCACCCCAGTTAAGCTTGCATTGTGACCAATCTCCATGGCACTCTATGTCCTCTTCATGACACAACACAAGATACTTTACCAGGACAAACACAGTAATGGCGGTGGGTACTCTGCAGTGGATACTGCATCACTAATATATGAGAATTAGCTAAGGCGCAATAAAATCTAGCAATAATATCTTTATTTCTTTTATGAATACAACACCACATAAATATATACATGTTATCTTGCATTCGTGAATAATTTTCAAAAAAAAATAAAATGCCATACGCTTCCAACGGACCAACATATCCCACAGATCCCAACACGCCCAGCCACTACATAGCACGATTTGTATGCACAATATCGCCTTAGGCTAATGATATTTAGCGTATCAATATTTATGGTATTCTAGATCCGCCCAACACCTATACATTTACAACATCACCACTTCTGTACACCGAAATTCGACTAATAACGCTTATCAGGCAGAAGAATCGCTTTATTAAAATGTTGATCCATACACTAGCGATAGATACAATTTGACATGGGTTATTGCGGATAAATTGTACTGATTTGTCATGTTTTTACTTGAAGCGATACATACAATCTGACATGAGTTATTGCGGATAAGTTGTATTGATTTGTCATGTTTTTACTTGAAGCATGCGTAAGAAATGATGTCAAATAAGGAATTGTATATCAAATCTCGTGCAGATCTAGTCAGCTGAGGCATTCTTTAAATGGCAAAAATTTTACTAACAGAAATTTATTTGTATCGTGGGTGATTGAACATATAGCATTTTGGATAACGCATGAAAAGGAATGATAATACATGAAAAACAATGATTCTCGAACATTATACTACGAAGAGCATCACTTGATCAAGAATGGGGTATGTTAAAACAGAATGCTTGTGTTGCTATATATTATCGTAGACATATTCAACCGTCAGGTCACTCTTACCTTTGATAAAGTGGCACACGCACATCAAACTTACCTCTTCCTCTTGCTATCATGAGTCCCTATACTACGCTAACCATGCTGGCCGTTTCTGTCCTGGCCATGCTTGGATCGTCACCTGCATTGATTGATGGGGCGCGCGATCTCACCCGTTCTGACCATCCAGGAAAGGACTTGTCTGAAATCCAGCTCAGTCGTGAGGAGTTCGTATACAACCCTCAGGTTGACGTAGGGGATTTGGCTGCCGCACAATCCAATGGCGAAGTGTCAATGGCCCGTCGCGAGGTTGAAGGCGGCAACGATGATGACGACGACAAATACGGAGCTGGCGACGACAATGATGACGATGATGACGAGAAAGAGTATGCTATGGGTGCTCAAGGGGTAAGTACCCGACTGTAAATTCGATAATTTAAGTGTTCGTTTATCGCCTAGTTACCTCTGTGAAAGTCACTTGTACCGTTTATCAGTAAACGATCTTGATTCATTGTACACAGCGAGATACATGGGACAATGACCGCAATAGATGCCAGCGCTGCCGACACTATTGCCGAGAGCGATGCAGCTCCCGTCGTTGTCTCCGCCGCTGCATGCACCGCAATTGCTACCGCTGCACCCGCTCTTAAGAGTCCGGGGCTTCTGCCTCCTACTGTTGATAGCTGAATTTACATCTTCGGAGGATCACTTTGCTATGAAAACTGCGTAACGTGGATCACGCCTCATGAAGTGACAGTCCGTGTGATTGCAGCGATAGTGGTAACTCTATTATGTTATACTTATGCGAACGATGAATATTCCCAAGGAAAGCCACACCGCTCAACGAAGTGGGCGGCGTCATTGCAAGCACTCAGCGTACAGCCGTGTACCCACTGCAACCTGCCGTCCGAATACTCAATGCATTGAATAAAGTATTGTACTCGTAAATTGAATTACGTTTTCCAACGTTTAATATATATGTTTGAAATTTGTTCCTAACCTTAATTGGTAATGCTTTTGCTGATCACGGTAGTTAAATCAGAATTGTCATCATCAATAACAATTCTCGACCGTGTGCACTGACATATGGCAATTGTCACATAAGTTATACCAAAATAGCCGCAAACAAATATTATTGACGTAATTCTGCAGCGAACTGAAAAGAATCACTACGTAGTATTTCTTCATCATCATCATGTATGACAACACAAGACGGGGAGGGGTACTGCTTACATTCCTGGACGAGGAAGAATATAGAGCAGCATGCCTGCCTAAGGTTACTAGCAACTGTTTTGACACGCTGGTATACTAAATTGAATCCGCGTTTCATAAATTGCAAACCAACCCAGGAAACAGCAACACCATTCTGAATAGGCGGATTAGGTATGCGGATTAGGTATGCATAACGAACATGTCACAGAACACGATTGAATTTCACGAGTGAGATATAGGTACCTATAAACGGCTACTATATAGCTGGACAACAGGTTCAATTAGAAAATGTTTATTTGAACTGATAAACTTGAGCAATTGCTAGGCTAACGAGTTGCAGACCGTTGGAATCTTTGGCAGGACTGAACTATCAAAAGGCGCGTCAGATCACCAGCCTGTCTGTAGTATACAGGGGTACTCTATCGCGCATTTGTTTTTGCGATTGATCCGATACGATGGCGCATTTGCCTGTATTCTGCTGATATTCAGGTCATTTTCCTATACTCCTAGTACAAATGACTATAAATATGTGCTACTACACAGACTGGGACGTCAATCTCATGGCTATGTCTATCTAGCATCTAGTGCCTTCTCGTGTTTATATACTAAACCCTAAAACCCTAAAACCTGGGAATATTGCTTCTTTGTAATTTCGCAGCGCTTGGGTGGGTGTAGTAGAAATCTGAAATGCACCAAGTAAAGTTCGATACTCCCGGTTAGACCACCTACTGAGTGGAGTGCCTGTCTATCTCTCCAGATACTACGCGGAGTAACTCGGAGAGTACAGCACACTTCAATACATGATTATCCCAAATCCAGCACACTTCAATACATGAATATCCCAAATCCAGCGCGTAGTGTGATCTGGTGAGCAGTAATTACTTAGGCATTTAGCGAGAGTGCACGATATAAATACATCAACAGAGTTGATATACCGGATGGCTTCGCAACTACATTACAGTGCTTGTAGCTAGAAGTTTGGGAGAAGAAGCTCAACTTGGCTACATTGTTACCAATCGATTCTTTATTCAGGTCAAGTTTCAGATAGAGTATCCACTATGACCACATCAATTATACGATTCGCTTCGGTTTGCTCACCATACAAACGGTATGACGGCTTTCCTCCTCTTGGGATACTTTATACCGAATTTGGACTGGTACCATTTGTGATGGGCAAGCGCTCGGGGAAATATATTGCAGATAGTGTAGACAGCGAATGCGGTCGCTTGCAGAGACAGATGTCAAAGGAGGCAAATAGAACTTAGTTGTAAGGGTGATGTTGTTAAACATGCTTCATATCTTGTTTCAGTATAGACGTTCGTGCTTAGCCCGCATATTAGAAAGTAATACAAAGTTAGCGTATATAGGAAGATCAACATCAACAGTGGATGCAACGATCATTTGCCAATAAACGCACCTGGAGCCACGATTAAGGAGTGATATGAAAGTATAAGGGATACGAAAATCGACAACTTATGATGAAGGTACCTGGCAAGGAGTTCGAGGCGATGGCAAACCCTATCCACTCCACCATCTCACCCAAGAAATTCGCCCCTGAGACGTATCGAAACATCCCTCTGAGCGGTATGGAGTACTCAGTTTGTCCCGGGTGTCGCTGGTACAATAAAACGGTTTATCATGCAATGTCAGATGAACGGCGTCAAGGCGAACCGCAGGTTCATTATCCCTTTCGACAAAGCTGTACTAAACGCATACCAATATCAAGCAGTATGCATTCTATATTCTATTGGAATCATAAAACGTTATCTATTAGTACATATCTTGACATGCATGCACCCTTTAACTCTTGCTCATTTGAACAGACCGTCATATAGTATTCCGTCTTCAACATGCACGGTGTATATCTTCCGATACCAACAGTGACGTGCTGGCACTAGCCTGTAACGTCTGTGCGGTGGAATTTACATTTGCTCTACATTTTTATCGCCTGCGACTATATATATATATATATATATATATGGTATATATAGACATATACCCATATACCATAACTAATTTACGTAATTGCTACTGTATCAGAAATAACGTAACTGGACTCGAAATTGTTTCGAACTAGAGGAAGGGCCACATGCGAATTGATGGCTTCACGATTAGTCCAGATAAAAAAAAAAGCATGAATTGATAACGGTGACTACAGAGACATATAGATATGACTCAATGACATAGATTGGAACTGTCACAGAGACCGCGCAAGTTTTACACAGAGCGTATCTGCGCCCATATATAGACAGGCTTGCAAATGCGCAAGTACCGAAGAAGAGAAGGTCTTGTTGTAAGAATACACATACCAAATTGAGTAATATGCCATCGGCCTGAATATTGATGTACATGCCACAGCAGAACATGGCCACTCCGAACACAAACTGAGGGCTGGTGAGGTACTCAGTTTCGTAGTCGGCGATCTCAGTTAATTGCATGGCCTGGATGTGACAAAGGGATAAGAGTAGCAAAATAGTGGGGCCGAGTCTCTTAGAAAGCATTTTTTGGCGAATATTCGAAGTCACACGATTTGACTGTGAATTGCACAGCGTCGGGGTTTAACGCACAATTCTGCATCAGGTACGCCAATTCCTGATAGTTTCTGCCTTGTTTTGGTAACTATACCAACCATGATATTTAGAACATGCATTGTGCGCACCTTCGCAAAACCCCACACAACCGCTCATACCCTTTGCCGACGACGTACCTGCATATACCCGTTGACAGAACAGAATAAACCGGCCAGGACCACAATAGTCAGAGGGGTGCCGTTGCTACTCTTCAGCCGAAAGGGATAGATAAGCGCCCGGTTGATATAATGCACAGCAAACAGGCTGAGCAGACTCATATTGACAGGTGCCAGCAGGCGGTCTCCATCGCCCGTCATGAGGCCGTACACAGTCCAAAACAGCGTCGGACTCTCCTGAAACATCCACGCTATGGGGTTCAACCGTGGGATGTGTGAGCAATACTACACTACAGCCAATCTTGAAGTATACGAACTGTTTTGGCTATGTTAGATCAATCTATTTGAGTTCGACACAATAGGCATGTGATTACATGTGGAAGCATGTACTAAGGTACCATCAAACTGATAGTTACATGCTTACAAAAGTGATAGATGAGCACTAGAGGTAGAAGATGATACATATCACAACTCCATGGACAGAAGAATAGCAAGTCATGTGCACGTACGTAGCAGAACATATAGAAGAATATATTTACGTATACAATTCCGTTACGTATGGATATAGATGTATATGTACATATATTTATATATATATATATATATATATGCAAACATAAAAATATAGTAATACAAAAATACACAAAAAGGTACACACACACATGTATTCATATACATACTAATACACGCAAACAATTATGTATATATATAGTCATATATCTTTATATATCGAAACACAGACACAAAGACACAGACACGAAGTAGAACGAGCATAAATATATATATATTTATATATATGTATATATATACTATATCTATATATTTATATTC